AAAAATATTGTTGTGCCACATTTCTGTGTAGTAGCTAACGTTGTTTTTCTATGCTAACAAATCACATTTTCTAATATGAGTTCATTCATCTTTATGTTCACAAAAGCATTAAGAATCAAGAAAGAAATGTTATGGTTGTGGGAATGTGGTAGAGATCATTTTGCTTTAATAATTTTCTTTTCATGAGCTCTGGAGATAGATAGCTCAGTGATGTAATCACCTGGCAAGCGCAAGAACCTGGGCTTGAGCCCAGTACTGCATGCCATGCTGGCCCCGGAACCTCAGAGGATCACTATGAATCCGAGCTGTATAGTGAGACCCTGTACCAAATAAATGAATAAATGAATAAATAAATATAAATAATCTTTGTCTTTTTACATTCTTGTGATCAAAATGAAAAGTTAAAAATGTAGATCTTTTGAGCTTTATTATTTTTCTTACTAAACACTTCTACACAGTACTGCCCCACTTTAAAGGCTTTGGGTAGTCAAGAAAGATCTCTTACTTACATTCTATTTTAAGTTTCACTCCTATGGTGGTTAGAAGAAATGTAACATTCCTGATGAGAACACAACATATTGAGGCCTGATTTGTAGGTAGCAGCATCTAAACATTTTGTAAATGGCACACTTTAACAATAGGACACAGATTGAAAGAAAAAGCCTAAAAAACTCAAAGACTTTTTTGTAAAGTTTAGGTTCCAAACTCTACGGTTTATTTATGTTCCACTGCAGATGATGATCCCAGGATGCTCTAGGTTCATATTTAATATTTAAAGTATTTGCTGTCCAAATTGATTCTGATTGAATTACTTCTTCTGATTTCTTCTTTTCTCTTCCCCTCCTTTCTCTTTGCAGGTGGTTCCGAAATGTATTCCTTTTCTAATCAGGAGTTTGAAGGATTCAACCCATAATGACATCATCTTGAACATCCTCATAGAGATAGCTGGCTATGACCCAGCAGCTCTGAGCAGTTTCCTCCCAACACTAAAAGAGATTGGTGAGAGATTTCCCTGTCTCATTGGACAGATGGTGAGGATCTATGGAGCTGTTGGTCACGTGGATGAAGTAAGTGGAGCTTTTTTATCTTTGTTTCTCTTACCTCCCAGTTTTTTCCTGGGACTTCTGAGAGTTACCATTTCTGTTTGAAATTTTTGGGTAGATAGTGGCCACTGTGTCTAGGTAGCAGGGTTATGTGGATAGTTGAGAAAGTAAGGACTTCATCCTGTGTTACTTGAAGAAAGAGGAGGGTTCAAAGAGAGCACACACTCTGACAGCTCTAAGACTTTACAAAAGGAACAACCCCTAAAAGAGCTCTCTGTCATTTCTGGGTGTGCCAGCTCTCCCTGTCCCAGGAGGTCATGTGTGAGCAAGCAGTGAGTTCTCAGAGACCACCCTCCCAGAAGAGACCCCGCAGCTATCATGTCAGGAAGGGCCTGGACTCAGCTCAGTATGTTCTGAGCCCTCTGGATGATGTTATGGGGGAGAGGAAAATAAATGTCTGTGGGTGCCTAAAAGTTCTAGCCTAAATATTTGCACAATGGAATCTTTCAGCAGCAACAACTGGATGCTATCAGAGTTCATAGTGATTAAGAAAGTTTCTAGAAATTCAGGTCCCAAAGAGTACGGATGCACACAGCCATATACATGTATAAAATATGTGGCTTTCTGATGATTTTAGATCAAGAGTTAGGATTTTTGTCTTTTAAAAAATAAGAATAAATAAGTATTTATTCATTGTTAGAATCTTTTCATTTAATCTACTTACATGTATTTAGCTAGTGAGTATAAAATTGCCCAACTTTTAAGAGAAATTTCATAGTTCACCAGATTCAATGCTTTTTATTCTTTTACCAGATAAAAAAGAAACAGAAAGACACTATGACTTCCCTAGATTTACACTGGGCTAATTAGTGACCCAGTGTGAGTTATACCTCTGGCACCCTTGATATTTGTTTTCAAATTTGTATTAAAAGTGGATCTTTAGTGCTGTTCTACTTTTTAGTGCTGAGAGTTATGGAAAACTCTAGGCATCCCAGGCAGAGCACACTTCATCCTCAGGAGGAAGGTAGGCTGCAGAACTGAGTGCTCACGCAGACCATGCGCATCAGCATGAGGATAGAACTTGAATGGAGATTGCTTTGATATGGACATGCTGCTTAGTATAATTCCTTTCTAGTCACTGCTGTGGGAAGGCTGTGCACCTGCTGCAGTCAGCCTTCTGGCAGGGCCTTCGCTTGCCTGTCATTTTGGGTGCCAGGAGAACCCTATGCTGTAGTGTTGCTAGGACAGCTTCAGCTATTTCACTAGATCTTCTGACCTTGCAGGTGTTTGCAAGGACCAAAATACTCAACCTCTGAAATGTAAGGCTCTGGAATTTAATGGTAGTTGTGTTTTCTTTCATTTGGTTTGATTTGGTTTGGTTTGGTTTGGTCAAAAATACATTTAGGATTCATTAATATCTAACATTGCACATTAGAGGTGGTTAAACTTCCCACAAAACATGACATGTGTAAAAAACCAAAAACATTACCTGTGTTCAACTGTGTCATCATGGGTTGGTCTGAATTAAGGATAACCAAAGAGAGTGTTCTGGTGGCAACAACCCTGTGACCCCCAGTGGATGCAGGGAGAAGGACAAGTGGATCCAAATAACCTGAGGAATATAGTCATTCCTCAGCATCCTCAAGAGTTCATTTCAGGATCCTAGAGTACCAAAAAGCTCAAGTGCCTTGTGTAAAACAGCATAATATTTGTATAAAGCTCCCACATATGTACACTTAATCAAATAATCCTGTGTACTTAGACCAAATACTATGTGTTACAGTTTGTGTCTAGATGTTCACCCAAAACCTCATGCTCTCATGGTGGTGGGCTTCTAGAGTTTGATCCATTGTCTAGTGCTGGGATTATGCATGTGAGTACTACACCCAACCTGGGAGGGGAAGCCTACATACAATATAAAGGACGGTGTCTTTTCTTGGGCTCCTCCCTTCTTACTCATATTGCTTTTGCTATCTTCCACTGCCATGAACTGTTGCCCCTGTACCATGCCACCCTGCCTTGGGGTTCGCTGAGCACTGACCAAAGCCTCCACAACTGTGAGCTACATAGACTTTTCCCTCTTTAATTTGAGTGCCAGGCATTTTGTCTCAGCAACAAGAGAAAGGTTACTAAGACACTATGTAATAGTTGCTATATTGTATTTTTAGGAAATAATGACCAAAAACTCTGTACATGGTTATTACAGGCAAAAAGGCTTTGCTGAGTATTATTCTTGGTTGATTAAATACATGTGTACGGAGCCCACTAATTGAGAGGATCAATTGTGATGAATTTCACAATTGTTGTTAGCTTTTCCCCAAAAACTAAATATTCTAACAGTTCTGATCCCTCCAGTGTGCATGTGCATACACACACACACACACACACACACACACACACACACACACACACAAACACACACTCATACACATAGAAGGTTTGGGAGGGGAAGAGAGAGAGAGACAGACAGACAGACAGACAGAGAGACAGAGACAGAGAGAAACAGAGCAAGATGATGGAAAAGACAACAATTGTAGATCAAATAATTGTCACATGTACTGAATTTGAATATGGGAAGTAGGAATTACATGTGAAACTTCTAAATACCATAGGATGGGCCCCTTTAGAATAGCTGCTAAATTAAACTTTCCCAGAAAGCTAGATTTATGGAAGCAACTACCAGTATTTTTCCTCTATAATCATTGGTAGATGAGCATTTGGGAACTTCTGACAGAATATTTAAAGTGCTTTTGCTTCCAGATTTCAAGCCACATCTTGCCTAACACCCATCCTTCCCTACTCTATATAACCATTGCTATTCAATTTACTAATTTTCTAGACTACTGACATAGCAGTACAAATTGGATTTGGCTGAGAGTAATAGCAAAATCCAAAATAACAGCAAATTAACCAAGACAGACCTCAGTTTTCCTCAGACTTGCTATCTGGACCACAGTCTACAACTCTATGTTTCAGAGACCCAGGCTTCTCATTCACAGCACAAAATGGTCTGCTCAACTCCCAACATTGTGCCCTTCTTCACCCGTTGAGTTAGAATCTTGGCAGGCAGAAAGGGAAAAGGACAGAAAAACTCTTGCAGACAAAACCAAATTTGATTTACAAAAGAAAGAAAACAAAGCTGGATATGGCCATATCTAGATGCAAGATTTGGTCCTATGTGGGTCTGGGGAGATAGCTTAGCACTCCAAGTACCTGCCTGGCAAGCGCAATCATTCTAATAAATTACCTACATATGTTTAGCAGGCTCCTTTGTTTAGAAATAATGACCTTATATATTTCTAATGCCTGAAATCTTATCATTCAAACATCCTTCTTTTAACTTTAAGGTTTGTTTCAGTGCTGGCAATGGAACATACAACCAATCCAACTTCAAGACCTTGCTCCAAGTTTTAAAATGTACAATTTGAGACTGACTGGACCTTACTGTTGGGTCCTTCCTTTGCTTTCTGTCTGCCTACAAACCTGATGGTTTGGCCAGTAGGAAGAGGGCAGTATCCTATCATCAGCCTAGAGATATCCACAGGAGTAGAACCAGCCTGGAAATATGCAAGTTATTATTTAGTTTATGCCTCACTACCTGTAGTGCATGAGGCCAGCTACAAGAACTTCCGGCCTGGCTACTGGAAACCAGAAAGGAATGGGATTGTCATTCAGATCAGGGCTCAGCTAGATGGGCAAACTGTTTTCAACAGACTGGCAGCAGCGTCATAATGTCTCCATCTACATTAACCAGCAGAGGAAAGTTGTATGTAGAAAGCAAGCGAACAAACAAAACACTCATGCAAACCCTATTTTTTCTATCCCCCAAATTAACTCAGATCTTTTGAGTGTGAATTTAAATGAAGCTGTACTTTCCAGCTGTGCCGTGCTGCATCACTAGCGGCAGCCAAGTAAGGACTCCCAGACCATTATTGCATCTATTGGAGGGAGAGGTCAAGTCAAAGGTCCAAAAAGCAGAGGAATGTGCTTGGAGGGGGACAACAGTGGCCAGGACAGGGCACATACCATTCTTTGTCCTCTAGGATTTACCCTACTCCCTTGAATGCACAATTGAAGCAAAGTTATAAATAAGAAATAGTATTTTGTTAGGTATCCCCTAATCATAGAAAAAAAGTATGTCTTTTTGTCTTTCTCAAATAAAAAGATTACAGTGGGTGCCTCTCAGACAACAGAGAAATTACTTCTTAGAAGCTTCTTTGGGTTTCTCCCCAAACATCCCTCTAGACACTTTATAGAAAGCACGTGTACATTGCCTGGCACATACAATAATAAGTGTTTGATGTATCTCAACAACAAAACAGCAGCACTAATATAATACACCTGCCTAGCTCCAACAAGAATATGTGCTCTTTTCCTCTAATGCATCTTCATAGAGTTACTAAATTTCTTCCTAAAAATATGCAATTTCACTTCTCTGCACAAAGCCTTTGTCAGCTCATTCATAGTCTATGGGGTGCTGTCAAAGGTCTTGACTTGGCCCAATTCTCTCTCTGGTTTCAGCTCTTCCTTGTCTGGTCTACCCCAACTCCTCTATGTTATGTTCTGTCTCCCTGTGTTCTATTTCATTCTGAGTGCCCAATGCATCCTGAGTTTCACAGCCATTTCTCCACCTGGTTAATCCTCACCTCCTCCTCCTCCTATTTAACTTTCCTGACCTGGCTCATATCCTCCTTTCTGTGTGAGTTTTTTTGTCTTCCTTAGGCAGACTGAGTCACAGCCAGTCTATCCTCCCTCCACACAGGCTATGCCATGAATGTCATATTAGCTGTTCCTTGTTTTATTGACAAGTCCTTGTCTGTGCTTCCTCCATAAGTCTCTGAGAAAAGAGAATCTGGCTGGCTTCCCTTGTGGCCATGAATGGTTACTCAGAAAGACTGTCAATTTGAAATGTGAAGGTTGACTTCTCACTTGGCACTGTGATTTGATCAAGTTGTTGTCTAACTCTACCAGTGTAATTATAACTTTAGAGAAAAAAGCACTAAAACATCACTCTGTACCTCCTA